AATCTTTCAAAGCTGATTTAGCCATTTTATCCGCATGGATGTTCCCCATAATGCCAGAATAGCCTGGGATCCATCGGATCTCTACTAACTCGTTTGATTGTAGGAGAGTTGTAACTTTGTTGACTGTAGCTTGGGACGACTTACTTCGTCCTGTTTTGAGGGAGCGGACAGCTTCAGAGTTATCGAGGAGCATCTTAATAGGACAACCTCCTGCTAGAGCCACAGCCGATTTAAGGGCTTTTTGAGCGCCCACAAGTTCTGCGTCGTACACTTCTGCTCCTAAAACTATTTCAGCACCGCTACCAATTAGCCTGCTTCCTTTATATAGGGCGTATCCCAATGCAGATATCGCTGGGTTGATTGAAGCGCCATCTGAATAGGCACATACAGTCTCTGTCGGGAGATTTTCTATCCATATCTTCGCGTACTCCGACTCATTCTCCCTACCGAGACCCGGTGAGAACTTGGTAAGGTAGGTTGACGGGTACGAAAGTTTTCCGGAACCTTCAGTGATTGGTACATTTAGAGCATTGTTCTGGAGTCGTGTCATATAGCGCTCTGGAACAGTGATAGGTCGGGCTTTCTGGCCTGTTCGGAGCTCGAGACGCTTTATAACATCGATTGGTAGCTCCCTAGCCCTCAGCGATAGAGGGTGCCATACGTCCAGTCGTTGGATACGCGCTGCTGACCGAAGTTGCCTCTGATCCAAAAGGATTGCTACCGGTGGAATACCTGATTCTCTTCGGAGAGCCGAGTTTGGGGTAGTGCGCCAAGCAGGTAGTGCCGCTCTGACTGCCTTTAAAATTGTTCTATCCAACAGATCTGTATGCCAGTGTGACAGAAACCGAGTTGGTAATGAATAAATCGATTTATTAAACTATATGAAGAGGAAAGAAATCTCTAGCTACTACTAACAGGTACTTGTAACGTTTGGTCCGCTTCGTGAATCTGCTGACTGATAACTTCCCCCTAGGCCTAATACTTGCTACTGAGCCAAGTATTATCAGGAGCCATTACGCTATGATGTTGCTTCGACCTCCTGGCTAGTAGTGCTATTTCATCTCTATTGGCCCATCCTTCCTCTTTCAGTCTTATTGTAATTATTCCTAATTAAATGCTTAGGTTTCCTCCTAAGCGAAAACAACGGTCAAACCGTAACAGCCAGCCAACTCCGGTGCCAACTTTCTTGTCTCGCCGCGTGGTAATTCGGGCTAGGCCAGGCCACCATGCCTTCGCTTCATACAGTGCCGTACTTAGGACATAGGCGTGAACAGCTTTAACCATTGGTCCTGGTGCTATGCCCCGCTGAACCATAGTAATACTCCATATGAACTGTGTTACACGCTGTGCTTTCCCGCACCATTCTTGCACGTGCTGCTTAAATTTAAGCTATGAGTCAAGCCATACTCCAAGCCATCTCACGTGTGGAGATGGGGAGATATTAAGACCTTTCACCTGGATTGCAAGACCTGACGTGTCCAACTTTTTTATTGGTCCGCCACCTATTATTAAAAGCTTAGACTTGACCAAATCAAAGTTGATCTTGTGCTCATCTGCCAGCTGAACAAGTTTATCTACTTCTATCTGAGCCGATGAGACAGCTTCAGCGGCATTGCGTCATATACCGAGGGATGCAATATCGTCGGCATATACGAATCTTTTTCCTTTCCCATCTTGAACTAAAATGGCAATGTATAGGAGGAAAAGAAGTGGCGATAGAAGTGAGCCCTGAGGTACTCCGCACTCCACTACTTTTTCGCAAGTTATTCCCTCCCGGTGACGAACGCGAATACTCCGCCGGGTCAAAAATGACTCATCGAATCGGCACAGTCTCCGTGACCACCCCTGGTCATGTATTCAACACAGTAAGCGTTTGTGAAGTACCGTATCTAAAGCTCCTTGCACATCCATCGTTATCATAGCTGTAACCTTGTTACTCCTCATTGTCGCCTCAGCGTCATGAATAACACAGGAGACAAGATCAACCGCAGAACGTCCTGGCAGGTCCCCAAAAAGTTGTCGAGGGACTACTTGGTGCTCGATGACTGACCAAGCCATTCTTTTGGATATGATACGTTCCAATCCTTTACCTAGGCAATAGAGCAGAGAGATAGGCCGCCATCCCTTGGGGGTGGATAGATCTCGTCCAGGCTTTGGAAGCAAGACTACTTCTGCGACTGGAAACGCTGTTGGGAAGTGTTCATGCTCCAGACAAGCTTGGAAAATGTTTCTTACATGCGTCCCAATTACTGTCCAGCACGACTTGAGCAACCTCACGGTTAATTTGTCGTTTCTGGGGGCCGTGTTGTTGCCGCCAATGGTGCATTCTGTAAGGTCTGATAATGAAATTTTGTTGTCACAAGGGATTCGCTACGGTTAGTCCAGCTCCCATATGGATAGATCTTCGTCTGCATCAAAGCGAGCCATCAAAGTGTCACTCAAGCTCTCTGCTCTCTCGAGTGGGTCTAAAAGCCACTTGTCCTCTGCAACCTTTAGTCGGGATGGCTCTCGACATAACTTAGGCTTAGCCCATTGCATCAGCTTAAATACTTGGGCGTCTATAGTCGTTTTTTCGGATTTTCTCCTCCAGTATTCTCTATTGGCTGCTTTGACAGTAGCTCTGAACCTTTTTCGGGCGTGGACTGCCAGAGCCGGATATGCTCTACAGTGTTTGTACTCGCGCTGCATAGTCTTGCATTCCTCGTTCCACCAAGGTGCCGCTGTTCTGGTGACTTTTGGTGCTGTACGTCCAACTGCGTTGCGAGCATCATCAAGTGTCTCTAGGAGCGTAGAAATTTGGAGCTCTATATCTCGAATATTTTCCAACGGCCCTAGCTTCATCCAGGCTTTAACGTACTGGGAGAATTTTCCAAGGCTCTATTTGCTGACATACAGTCCCTGCAAAATACTTAAAGGATTCGACATTTTGGTTGTCTGAGTGGATCCTACGACGGTCATATGATCTGAAGTACAGTTTATCTCCGTTAACACTGACGCTATTGCTGGGATTTTTCTCCACACTAGATCTAGTACGTTTCCGCTCCGATGTGTTGGAATCCCGGCTCTGGTTGCTACATGCATGTCATGAGAATTTGCCCATTCCATTATCTGGACACCATTGCCGTAATGACGTGAGGTTTGCGGTTGCCAGTGCCTTGATACTGAGTTGAAATCTCCTCCAACCACTGTAGGTCCTGAAGGTTTCCAGAGTAGTAGTGGATCTAGAGTGCCACTTGGGCCAGACGCGCGATAAACATTTACGGATGTAGCCCCGCAAACCTGTACAAAACAGTAGTCAGCTGTTTGGCCTGAGAATGGGGTTATCTGTAAGTTTTGCAGGCCTTTGCGGGTAAAAGTTATTGCCCGAGGCCGAGCTCCTCTCTCGCCGGTTGGGCTGTGGTTATCGAGGCCAGTGTGACTTTTACTGATAGAGCTTCCTTCTTTTTGCATCGTCCATGGCTCTTGTACCATTACAACGTGCGCTCCTGCTTCCCATGCTTGTTGCAAGTCTATGTCCATATTTTCTCTACCCTTTCCCACGTTCACTTGGTGAAATAGAACCTTCCTCTCTGAATATGCTCGAGCGGCATTAAAGTCACGATGTCCACGCTCGCGGATGATGCGCAACTCTGATGGTGTGCGAGATTCAATGGTTCCTTGTTGGCACCTGGGCCTAGCCATGCATTTAAGCTCATAGAAGTCATGAGGACCCGCGCAGTTAGAGCTGGCCTATGGGCAGAGAGGACGTGCATGTCATTTTATTTTCATAGAATTAAGAGAACAGTTAACACAAAACTAGCAAAAAAATTGACTGCCATGCAATCCAGTCTCTCAGAGTCGGTATGATGGTAAAGAATCCGCTCTTCAAAATAGGTAGTGAGCTATGTATATGGCAGTAAGTCCTATTGTTCCATCAATCTTACGCCGCTATTTACGCTGATTATCTGTGAGAAAGTTTCGCTTGATGAAGCCATTTGACCTATTGCTGCTAGACAGGAGACAATGAGAGATTGAAGTTCGACTGTAGCTGAGGGGCAAGAATCTTGATGCCGTATATTGCAAAACGGTTGATGTGATCCGTGCTTCTAGCATGGGATTACCGAGTGACCAAGTCACATGGATCTCTGTCTCGTCCCGCCCATGCAGGACTCATCCCCTTAAGTTTTGCCGTGGCCCTTGGTAGCCAGAGGTTCTTCCTGGTTTCCCCCTGGTGGGTAGTAACGGCTGAGAGAAGGGTGAAAATCCCTAGCAAAAAAGGTTTCGAGCAGCAACAGCGAATTCACCCACTAAATGAGTGATCAAAATGTCAAACTTAGTCATCGTCGTATATAGTCGTCGGAGAAGCTAGTCTTCTCCGTGTCATGCTCTTTGAGTGCAGGGTTTGTGCCCGCCAAGAATAGATACTCGCACACTCCCGTGTCCCTTGGATCTAAATGCCCGGCGCGCCATGGAATAGCACCGAAGACGACTTCAGTTACAAATGATAGAGATTAAACATCCAAAGGTTCAAGCTTCAATTTATAATCCTGTAACACAATATGCGGACCGCCATACACGAGATGAGAACTTCAGGGTACCCACGATCACTTTCATTTGAAGTGACCTAGCCGACGTTCCCCATGCGTTCAAGGTCAGTCCTGCCCCCCCGACCAACTACTACTAACCAGGACTTCCCTACGGCACTCTATCCAATCGTGTCACAGTCAACTTCCAGCGTCGACATGGCGGTCTGGTCGCTATGTCGTCCCATTATAGACTGTCGATGAATGGGCACGCCATAAATCTTCCTACCCGTGAATTCTAATTGTAATCATCTCCGTTTCCGCTTTCCCTCATGGTCGCTACTTAGCATTCGTTAACTCATAGTAACCCACACTATGGCTTAGTTTAAGCTAGCTGCGTAAGCCTCTTAATTTTATCCTCCCACTCGCATTCTAGGGCTCTCTTCAAGCTAGGACACATATTCTGTCCATCGGACCCTCTGCCTTTCGAGCTAGAAGATGAGCAATAGACAACATGCTACGTCCGGTCGTGCAAGTTCCATTAGCCCCCTGGCTACTGGCGGGCTCGTGAGATATACTCTTCTCGGCCTTTCTCAGGCTACTCGTGTCGTCGCCGCGCCTGTGGTAAAGTACTTCAACCTAACAAAGAAAGATCAACTTGGTGAAGGTGAACTAAATCTATGGATCTATTTAACTACGGCTACCTTTCTTGTCTTACTCGGTGGTGCCTTTGCTGGATTAACCATTGCGTGGGTACCTCCGCATCAGAAATCTAGGAATTTTCAAGCTAATCCGTCACTTTCACTAGGCTTATGGGACAGGATGGCGTTTACCTTCAAGTAATAGCAACTTCAGGTGAAGGAAAAGAGCAGAGACATGCCCAATCTGTCTACAATCTCCTTCGTAAAGGAAAGCATTGGGTCCTGGTCACTCTTCTCCTTAGCAATGTAATCGTCAACGAATCTCTTCCTATCGTCCTTGATCGCTCTCTGGGAGGAGGGTGGCCAGCCGTCCTCGGAAGCACCGTATTAATTGGTAGGCTTCAAAGGGACTAGCCAGCCATGATTTATGTGCTAAATTGTACTCTAGTTATTTTTGGCGAAGTAATACCCCAATCAGTATGCGTTCGATACGGGCTCTCAATCGGCTCCTATATGGCACCCTGCGTTCTAGGACTGATGTGGATTATGGCACCCATCGCTTGGCCAATTGCTAAACTTCTAGATAAATTATTGGGAGAAGATCACGGTACAGTGTACAAAAAGTCAGGGTTAAAAACACTTGTTACTTTACACAAGACACTTGGAACCAGCCCAACTGAGAGATTAAACCAAGATGAAGTAACAATTATCAGTGCCGTCCTTGACCTCAAGGATAAAGCTGTTGGTGATATAATGACGCCCATTGAAGATGTTTTCACCATGTCAGAAGACACTATCCTAGATGAAGATACAATGAATATAATCTTAAGTGCCGGGTATTCTCGTATTCCAATCTTCGAGCCTGGAAATCCTCAGAACTTTGTAGGAATGCTTCTTGTCAAAATTTTAATTACATACGATCCAGAAGATTGCAAAAAGGTTAGTGAGTTTGCCTTGGCTACACTGCCGGAAACGAGACCAGAGACTAGTTGCTTGGACATCGTCAATTTTTTCCAAGAGGGAAAGTCTCACATGGTTCTGGTATCTGAGTATCCTGCCGAGAACTATGGTGCAATCGGTGTTGTCACGCTAGAGGATGTAATTGAAGAATTGATCGGCGAGTAAGTCTGTACGAGGATCTGGTCAAGTCGAGAAACTAAAGTTTTAACAGGGAGATAATTGACGAGTCAGACGTTTACATTGATGTGCACAAGGCTATTAGGCGACTTGCACCGGCTCCAAAGGCACGCGTACAGAAGACCCAAACGGTTGTGAACTTAGACGAGAATACTGAAAACGTGTCTGATGATTGTCTCGCTGACTTTTCAGAGAATAACATCGGGGGACAAATTTACTTCCAAGGTGACCCTGTTCCAAATGACAGTATCACTATATCGGCTCCACTCGGTACCAGTCCAAAGACAACTTTCCTGCGTAAAAGCATCGGTGGAATTGCTGGAGATGGGCCCATCACTATCAGAGGCAACGCCTCGGACATGCGTGATCAGCTGAAACATTTAGGACCATCCAATCTTGCAAGTCGTCCAAAAACTACAAGGTATGCAGCTGTTAAAATAAAGAGCGGCTCAGCACAAGTCCGAGCAAATTCCCGGGTTGGTGATTTAAGTATACAGAACGACTCATTACTTATGGGACCAAGTGATAATAGTCCAAGTGAAATGCGACTTTCACCTCCAAAACCAACGCCTGGAAACTTCTCCAATATAAATGCAGATCAACAAAACCTTCTCAACGGCACACCTAGAGGAGAAGACGATGCATTAATCCCATCTTTGCGACCCGGATTTGGTACATTTTATCAAAATAAGAATAACTCCAATCCCCTACCAGTTCTCGAAAGAGCTTTGACAACAATTTATCCCAATGTAAACCTTCAGGAATTCAGGCAAATCTCCACAAACTCGTTGTCTGGCCGTACGAGTGAAAGTAGCAGCGCAAGCTCCGAAAATTTAATATCAACACAGTCAAGAGGTAGTAGCCCCAAACGCATAATTCGTCGTAACAAAAGGACGGCACGGAGCGGGAGCATAACTGAGAATATAATTGAGGCTGGTGGGATTCGAAAGGTCATCTTAGAGACTAATAGCTCAGGAGAAGACTTTGAACACAACAGAAATATGAACTATAATCGAAAGGTAAATGATAATCATAATAACATTGCAAACAGCAACCTTAATATAACTCGCAACTCTCAAATATCACCGAGTTCGTATGTTCCAGAGAAAAAAAACGTTACAACTACCGCTGAGAACTCAAACACACAAGTTTCATCGAAAAATGATGAGAGTAAAAAAAAGCGTCGTAAAAATCGAAAAAGAAAACTCAAAAGCAAAGAGGATCGTACAATTTGAAGGTTTTTTGGGAAATAATCGGCCGGAGACGAGAATACGTCTATCGTTAATTCATGCGCCACTGTTTTCATCTATTTTAGCCCACAAGGCAGGCTGAATGAATAGATGTCTGCCCTTGCTACTCAATATCTAACGATCTAAACAAGTGATGAATCAACGAGATACGTTTAAAATTCGATCATAAGTTCAATTTTCTACAGAAGCTTCCCAAGTGAACAAGCTTGTAGTAATTTAATATAAATTGAATGGTGAAATCATGCGGTAATGGTTCATGCGGCTCATGTTATGGCGATTCCTTGGACTCTACAAGAAGTGCTTTTATTAAATAGGGCTTACAAAAGGGGGTTAAAAGATTTTAATTGTGTTTTGCCAAGTTCTGTGGCCCTGTGTTGTATTGACAAGATCGCTTTATGTTAAATTCAGACACGAGGCTCATTCATTACGACTCTTTAGCTAATTATTATTACGTACATCTTTATATCACAGTCACGCATTGGGGGAAATGTTTTAGAGACAAAGGTCTTCCAAGTGGACTAAATAACCTGACCTGGCATAGAGAAGTGAGTTCCATTAATCGAATTCCCTGTAAGTCAAAAGAGTTATGTGAGATGACCGCACGATTCGGATAGTTTATCCAGGCTGACATTTCTTTCGACTATCTCAACGTAGAACACAGCTGTAAAAACCTAAACCTGATCTCAGTAATGGGCCTTTGGAACTCAAATTTTCATTGTATCATAGGTTTCTGCAAACTTCTGACATGTTCTGCAGTAGGGCTCATTCACGTGTGTATTATTTCCAATAGTATTTTGTGCCAAGTATTCATGAGGCTGAACAAGTTACTTGGTAAAGCGAGCCAAAAGAAATATAAAGAAAGGATAAACACACTTCTTCAACCCAAGATGCAGTGGGCCGATACAGCTGTATTACCAGCCGGGGTTATTCACGGCTAGACTCTAGGTATATTTTCCAAAAAAAAATACAATGCTGACATTACTAGATTATTTAAGTTGAAATATGTGACAACAAAGCTCCACTGTATTGATGTTGATAATCGTGTATTCCTGTACGCTGTTGCACTCCACGTTCAGTTCGAGCTTAATGTGAGTAGAGCCCGTGGAAGCGATTATTCGCCTCGGTCATGTTTCGGTTCTAGGGCCTCTTCAAGCGTCAAGTAGAAAAAACGAAGACCTAATCCCTCCCTGCTGTAAGCTCTTCGAGACTGGGAGTGAATTATTTTCCAAGAGTCGAGATTAGATCAGGAGGCAAACTAAAATCAATGGTATCGGATAATGTGGCGGTGATGAGAGTCTATGCTGCCTTGTTTGTAGGGGAACTTATGGCCCGCTGAGATTCCACAGCTATACGGAACAGCCGATTTGAATGAAGGGCGGAGTCTGGACATCTATCATTTGTATCCTGTAAATCCTAGTAGCGAAGTACTTCCACTAGATTGATATTCATTCTTGGAACGAATGTAGCTGAGAGCTTTCGACGAGACAGCAATATGGAGCTGTTTTTTATTTATCCAGGTCGACAACGAGACGTGCGAGGACTTGTTCCTCACTGTCTATGAGAAAATATTTTGAAGTTATAAGCATCAAATAAATCATATAAAATTGGTATCTTATATAGATTCTAGAAGTCCTCCATAGTCATAGACTCAGTTAGGACTATAATAAAATCTAATCTAATCTAATCTAACGAGACGTGCACGTATTCCTGCCAAGAAACAAAGACGTCTTTTTTTTTGCATCAGATTTTAATTGCGTATGCAGCTATCTAGCTATGACACAATATCAAAGAAATGTACAGAAAAGATGACTCAACGTAAAGGAAGAACACTCGTGCCTCAGATTTCATTTGCAAGTACCACTGCGAAGTTATGGTGGCTTTTTCTTCACTCCAAGTCAACCTTCATCCCTGAATACCCACCCAGGGGAACGTCTCAAAAACTCTCAGTTATCCAGACATGCCTCCATCATCTTTCAACTTTTCTCTGCGCGAAATATGGTCTGAGGTGTCTCCTTCCTAAGTGGAGTAGGTGCCCAGGCTACTCAAACCATACCAGAGAACACCACCAGGAGGCGGACCACAACACCTTCCATCGTCGGCTTGTTTTTATAGTGTCAGCTGCACTCTCGCAACCGAAGTCTTGGCATACGCACAAAGCTCAATTCGTAAAACTGCTTGCCAAAATTCGGAATTTCACTTCCTTCTAGGTTATATCCTTCCTTTGCATCATCTTGTAAACTTGTCCTGATCTGTCTCACGTCCATCCCAAAGAACTATCTTCCAGATTTGTGCGCCACGCTTTGCTTCCTCCGTCGGGTATAAATATCGGCGTGGGCGTGTATTTGGTGGTCAACTGAGACCAGAGAAGGTCGAAGAGAGGTGTGGTCATTGGGATGAGGAAGTACTTAGTCATACTTGTAGACTTGATGAGACTTAGGTAGGCGTCAAACTCGTTGGGAGCGGAAAAACGACGTGGTGGAGTAATTTGGATTTTTGCCTCGTGGGCCAACTTCTTTGATATTGCGAAATTTGATTGAACTTGGCTCTGGGAGAATATTTCACTCCCAGGTCCGTAGAGGACACCGCGTACAGGTGTTCAGTCTTGCCCTCCAACAAGGACGTCATCTGCGCGATGGACCGAAATAATAAAGTCTATTACGGTTCTCTAAATGTTACTAGTGCGGGCTTGGCGCACTGAAGGGGTAGTAGTAGGTATTTTACAGGGGATGGTTCAGCGGTCCTAGAAGCTGTAGGAACCACGACTTGGCCGATCGAAGACTCCGTTATATTGGCCACAACCACGAAGCGTGGAGAGAAGACGAAGAGTGAAACATGTCAGCGATGTTTTCCACGAATCTGGGAGTGGAATTGGCTCCTAGAGCTAAGCCTCGTCAAATGCTGCTATGCAGAACAATTTGGCCCATGAGGCAATGATCCAGTACTGCCAACCACATCAGTCTTTCACTCCTAGAAATCGATTGCCACCAAAGCGTCATCCAGCCTACAAGTATAAATTAGTCTTTCCTTGCTTCTGTGAGCTTGTGTCTAGTTGACTTTGTCTCTGATCTCAAACAACCTCTACATACACGCCCACGACAGCATGAGTACTCACCCAAGGTCGCAAATAGCCGTGCACGAATATGGGCCGAGATGTCTTGGGGATAGAAATGAGAGAAATCTGCTAGATGGTGAAGAGGACCCAATAGATGGTTGCAATCTCGACGAGGGTGAAATATCGATCTTTGGAAAGTAGTTTTCACTTTGAAATTTTACGCGTCACGACTTGGCTTGCGAAGACGGAGACAATTATAAAAATATCTACATGGCTGGGTGGTTCCGTGGTACATCATCTGAGTCAGTCCTCCAAGTATAGACTCGACATCTCGGACACCTATTCCAAAAAAGACAGGAGATTGCTCGCGGAAATACAGAGTCATAATCTTATCTCTTTGCAGTGCGCATGTGCACAGATGACAAAGGCATGCTTAGATAACTATAGGTTTGAAACTACGCTTTGGCGGGCACTCATAAAGGACTGTCGACTGTTTGTGTTAGCAAACATATCTCACAATGAAATCTACAGATGAGATCTAGCGTATGAGTGTCTCTTAAGTCAAAATTTTCATCAAACTTGTACGCACAATACTGATCATGTATCATGGCTCATAGATCATTTCTGAATATAAAAATAATATCTAAAAAAATTGTTTCTGCAGGCCAATGAAAGAAATCTCTTGAGTAGTATATTCTATTCTAATCCTGCATAGCAATTATATTTTAGGGACCGATAACTCAACACTTATCAGCGGTGTCCCCTACATACTTCCAGCTCTCACTATAAAGTCTACAGAGTCTATTTTGAGTGACACCGTCGTCTCCACCTTGATGATAATTCCCATGTAGCCTTGAGGTCTGTTTCATCTTCGTCCCTCAACAAAATCCCCTTGCAATATTCCCATCACAGTCTACAGGGCTAAAGCTACTTTAGGGAGTTCTGGAGCCTAGTCTAGGGAGGAAGCCGCGAGAGTGATGCCAGACAGGATAGGAAGGGTGTTCTTGATTAGCCCTTGACTCACTAGAACACTTCTTTGCTTCGTATACATGATGAGATATTCTTCATATCGCATGTAAAGTCCGGGGCTGGACGGACCATTACTCTCGGATAGAGCCTGGGTTTTACTAGCGTAGGGGCTGCCTTTCTATCGATCTTAAATGAATGGTTTGGAGCAGGCAGAGGGTCTGATTTTGTAGTAGCATTCAGTTGTGGAGTTGCTATTGACTCCTCGAAGACTGAGAGGCCAGCAGTGACGTGAGCAGCGCTATGCGTCAGAATGGCTTTAAATAGTGCCGAAACGGGCGCAGGAAAAACGCGTAATTGTTGCGCTTCAAGGTTTTGTCACGCCAACAAAGATGCAGCGAAATCTTTAGTCAAGGCCGCTGAATGCGCATGTGAAGAGGATGAACTAGTGATTGTTTCTAGCTTACATCCAGCTTGGGCTCTGCTAGCCACGTGTACAGAGATGGAGAAGCTTTTAACAGTATTTCTTGATATCTTTGAAGCAAAGGGCTTTTGGTTCTTGGTCGCCAGCTCAGGCCCAGGAATCAGATCGGAAGAGTAGTCAAATTCTGAATTTGCGTTTATTAAATTTAAACCAGCTGCAGACTGTTATCTCCCAGCAACTAGTGTCAAAATAATTCTGTCTTACGGAGCCGTTAGCGATATGGTTCGGGGGAGATGCGCACTAAGTTGGCTTTTTGCGCTTCCCGGTAGACATGCCGTATGTGTTTTAGTGAGACTTTGTACGTTACCGGATTTGACATGATTCAATATTTGGGTGGAGTAGGCAGATGATATAGATGGGACAAGGTTCATGGCCATGCAGATGAGAGTCCACCAGCCGATCTCCGAATCCGTTTGTGTTAAGCCTTAAATGTGAGAGAAAAGGACCGATAGCCATAATGAGATAGGTCAGGCGGGGTAATCAAGATTGACGCTGACAATCCGTCACGAAAGAAGCGAACGGCAGAAAGGGCAGGCGCAAGGTATCACGTTAGGGCTGCGGAGACGTCAAAGTTTAGCAGAAAGCTCCCAGGACGGTGGTATGTGTATCTGATCGGCCGGGGAAATCTTGCATGAAAGCTGCATTTGGGCCACATACTGAAGCGCAGAAGGGACATCTTTATTTTCGTTCGTCCGGGCCGTTGAACCATTGTTTCCCTACGACTACTATCTGTAGGGCTTGACGTGAGCTGTCATTGACGAGTATGGCCTAATTCTTGGGCGTACAAGGCAACAATAAGGCCTCTTGTGCATGTTAGTAAGAATAAAATGATAAATGTTGACCTTGAAATTCATGGGTGTCTCGTGGCTGCGACTACGACAATCTATATGTGTGTAGAGAATGAGGCCAGGGTTAAACCTGTAATTCTATTAACGTTATAATTCCTCCTTAAATCCATGAAATTACCCATACTCCACATAATGTAACGATCAATAGTACAAGGCGAGGTAAACTATCAGAATACAGCAGGAGAGGAGTGGGGCGCTTAGCCGCCCGGATTATGATCAAAGAATGCGAGGGGTGCATTCTCGATGGGACCTTGAGCTTCGGCGTCTCGCTTGGACTCGAAGTTCAGGATCCTCAACAATACTGCTAGAACTATGCAAGCTGAGTGAGTTTTTGCTTTTTTAGGGGCGGGACATGCAAGTCAAATTTCCACGGCAGAACACAATATGGTTATGGGTACCACATTAATCGCTAGTATGTCATTAAAATTGTCGAGGGGGACTTGAACGCTTGATTCCTGCCAGTGGTTTTACCAACGAAATCTCAGCTGAGATCGTAGAGTCCATGGAGTCAAAATTTGGTCCGATACACACCGACATGCTGCTATGGAGCTAGACTGGGCTAACTAACTAGAAATTACCAATTAAGATGAATTTCTGGTATCTTAGGACGACCTTCCACTTGTCCTAATGCGTAAACAAGGGGAGTTATCACGAGATGGCCAGTGAGACACAGGGTATTTCTACTAGGTACGTTGCTGTGCAGGGCATGCCATGCCGGCCAATCTAAAGGCTACAGAGAAGTAATACCTTCGGGATTTGTCCCGACGTCGGTATTTGCGGCGCCTTGCGCACAGTAATTTTTTCCCCTATCTCCGGCTGCCGTAAACCTGTAAGTAACCCTATATTTTAGGGAGAGAGTGAGCAAGGAATGGCCGGCAAAGACGAATTGTTCACCTTCCACTGGTGCCGGTGTAATCGATCAGTATGCCCTGCATATCTGGGATAGCCAAGAAGAATCGCATCCGAATCGAAGTCAAAAGCAAACACAAACACATCTACAATCGGCGACTTCACATTAATACCGGTCTTGTCATTCTCACGAGAGACCTCTACTTTAACCTCTCCACATACCACTTCGCCTCAACGACCGATAAAGGCGTTACTCCAATTGCAAACAGGAGCTTGCCCTATTGATTACCGGCCATCACTCACTACAAATTTATGACGCTATGTATACCCACAAGGAGGAAATTAAGTCATAATATACAAAGTTGGGGTCTTGGGTGATGGGGGACTGATGCTCTAATGGGGTTATACACCTTGAGGAAGGACAGGCGGCTGAGATATGGAATAGATCTCTTGTGGGAATAACAGTCAACTTTGGTGGATATAGGATAGCACTTTAAGTCTAACGTTAAAAAGACAGATATATATTGTAGATCTGCTGTGATGATGACTACTGAAAATAAGAGTGGAAATGGCTTATCATGTACAGAGGTCTAGTAGCGAATATTTATACACAAAGACAATACATACAATATACCATCAATAGCAATAACTGCCAACCATTCAGCCATTCAACAACTATGTCAATAGATATACCTGCGTCAAATTATCATGTATGGTTGAGATACTGGTGTTGTCATTGCTGTGTGCCGATGACGTATCATTGACACAAGGTCGCTTGTCCTGTCGGTTACACTAGCCTAATACTAGCCATTTCAAGTTGTGTGATCTATAAGTGGGCCTGATCACAACATCTCCCTAGTACCCTGGACTGCACAAAAGAAGTTAGGCTAAGCTACCATACAGCAATCACGCTCAGTCAAGACTTTTTGACATTTCCGCACGACCTTCATGAGGGAGATGGAAGGGGGCTAGAAAGGTAGAGGGTGAATTTCCCAAGGTGCCCACATTTCCGCAGCGCACAACTGGCCAGCCTCTTCGAACGCTTCAGATCGATCAATATGTCTTCGGATGTAGTCCTAATGTCGGTACTAGAAGAGCTCCGCACCCAGTGGTTTATGCGATTTCTCCCGGCTATCATACACCCGCAAATGGCCATCGTTTCGTTGGCTGGAGAGGGGAGATGATGAAGGGCAAATGGCACCTCTAAGTGTATGATCGAATGAGGACTTGTGAGGGGTAGTACTGTTTGAGGGGAGCTGTATGGGAGGCAAAGGAGGAGATATACTACTGGTATAGGTATCGTTGGCCTGTAGGCAGAGGACCTGCATGTCCTACACAGTCATAGACTCAGAAAGGACAATAAAATGGACCAAAAGAAAAAAAACCTATCAATTAATAAGGACTTCGTCTTATTTCGTGACGTATTGATCACCATCTAGCTGAATTTACTCATTAACGTATTTTTCTCCAAGTCATGGACAATTTAACCTCCCAACCTGTTCCCATACCTAATTTTGCATCCTATAGACAGGTCGAGCCCACACCCGAATCTTTTAATTTTGCTAGCAACCTCTGCAGCAAAGAATTTGGGAACATTGGCTCTATAATAATCTCTGTCTCTGATACCGCTCCTATTTTAAAATATATCCATGCCAATCCTACTATTGCCCTACTCGAACTCCAGCAAGCTTTCCACGTCACAGGAAATCTCATAGCACGTCACAGGGACCTCGAAATATCTGACAAGAAAACCAAAGAAAAATTTGACATACTCAATTCTAATTTCAACGACCTTAAATTTGAACACAACAATCTATCCATGCAACACGAAGCAGAGATGAGGTGGACAAGACTGGACATCTGTACGCGGTATCCTTTACGAACCTGGGAGTGAAATATTCTCCTAGAGCCAAGTTCAGTCAAATTTCGCAATATCAAAGAAGTTGGCCCACGAGGCAAAAATTCAAATTACTCCACCACGTCGTTTTTCCGCTCCCAACGAGTTTGACGCCTACCTAAGTCTCATCAAGTCTACAAGTATGACTAAGTACATCCTCATCCCAATGACCACACCTCTCTTCGACCTTCTCTGGTCTCAGTTGACCACCAAATACACGCACACGCCGATATTTATACCCGACGGAGGAAGCAAAGCGTGGCGCACAAATCTGGGAGATAGTTCTTTGGGATGGACGTGAGACAGATCAGGACAAGTTTACAAGATGATGCAAAGGAAGGATATAACCTAGAAGGAAGTGAAATTCCGAATTTTGGCAAGCAGTTTTACGAATTGACCTTTGTGCGTGTGCCAAGACTTCGGTTGCGAGAGTGTAGCTGACACTATAAAAACAAGCCGACGATGGAAGTTGTTGTGGTCCGCCTCCTGGTGGTGTTCTCCGGCATAGTCTGAGTAGCCTGGGCACCTACTCCACTTAGGAAGGAGACACCTCAGACCATATTTCGCGCAGAGAAAAGTTGAAAGATGATGACGGCATGTCTGGATAACTCAGGATTTTTGAAACGTTCCCCTGGATGGGTATTCACGGATGAGGGTTGACTTGGGGTGAAGAAAAAGCCGGCATAACTTTGCAGTGGTACTTGCAAATGAAATCTGAGGCACGAGTGCTCTTCCCTTACGTTGAATCATCTATTCTGCACTTTTCTCTGATAGTGTGTCATAGCTAGATAGCTGCATACGCAATTAAAATCTGATGCAAAAAAAAGAAAGCAGAGATGAAAGGTGCACAAAAACTGATATCGGCACTCAATATACCTGAGCTTGTGAGCTCAACAAGCAAAAGAAGAGAACTATCTAGACCTTATATGGATACAAAATTTACTGGTGCCGACAATAAACTACGAGCCCATTTCATTCGTGACTTGTGCAGGAAGCTCGAAGTCAACGCCAATTGATGGGACACAGAAAGACTACGAATGTTCTACGTCGCATCATGTTTCCCCAAAGGCTCGATAGCAAAAAAACAGTTGATAGTAGCTTTAAATCTGACGGCAAGATAATTTACAAATCTGTTGATGACATTATTAGCCTCCTTCAACAGACTTGCGGTGGTATAGACGAGAGTGCAACCGCACAAAGAGAAATGAAGGGATTTTTCCAAAAGAACCAACCTCTTGCTACCTGTCTTCCTCACTGGATGTCGCTCTCAGAGCTTTCTGGATTTAATGATAGCGCTTTAATATCTATTCTTAAGGATGCACTCCATCCTGATATTAACAATCGCCTTTCATTAAAAAGTTGGATCTTAACGAGTTGCTCCACAATTTGATTGCTCTTGTACGTGAACAAGACGAAATATTACCAAATTTAGACCTGAAATATTTCTTAAAAAACTGCCGAAAATATTATAATTGTCACGGTTTCAGTACAAAATATATGGGCAATCTTGTAAGTACAGTATATTAATTATTGTCACAGTTCGAATATAGAAAGCAAATGGGCATTTGTATGATTAAAAGGCAAAGCTATAATTCATCTATGGAGAAGCAAACTACCTGCAAGTCACCCGTGCTACTTATACATATCTAGAGATATCTAAATCTAGCCCACGTTTACAGTGGCAATGAAACTAACTCAAGGTTTGTTCTGCCACACGGGTAACGCTTCCAATACTCTTGGCACTACCTTTTACGTAGCCTAAGTGGCGATTACGTATCTATTTTAGTCTGCTGGTAATCCTCGGAGTGATAGAACATATAGGTTGCCTTCTATAGCCATCGAAGGCTACAGGACTTATCAGTTCACAAGCCATCATATTTATAATTCTCTGGAGACAGAATTTCTACAGCTAGATTATAAATATATATACAATCTGAGATAATCCTCTGCTGTAAGGTCCCCCCTATGACTAGAATAATATGGAATCTTCGAAGATCCCCTAGAAGATTCTTGATATGTCTATCATCCGCATGAACCTTCAGTATGCTTCCAGAAGGTTCATTGAAAATCTTCTAAGCTCCATGTATTCCGAGATCCCCGAAGATTACCTTGGTGTCATTGCCTGCGCTAGCTAGTCTAGGCCACAGGAACCCTTAGACTCAGCAGCTATTACAATAATTACGCGTAAAATCTCCTAGAAATAACCTCCACACCGCTCCCAGTTCCCCAAAACATAGAGCTGACAACATCACAAGGAGGCGATGCCATGGATCTCAGTTCAATCCATGTAAATGGTCTCCAACTAGTCAGCAAGTGGACTGAAAAAGATATGGGTAGGAAACTTACCAACGATGTCGAAAAAGCATGTCGCCGCACCTACAACGCGTCAAATAACCTTTGCACTGTTTGTGACTCCAGGGACCACATCCCACGCGACTGTCCTGCATCTTATCTAAATCGTAAAAAGAAAAAAGACCTGAAATTTGTATAGT